ATAGAAGTATTTTCTGAACTCGCAGAAGATGTTCCGAAAAAATGCAAAAATGGGAACCTGTCAAGGAATCGAACCCATGACCTCCCATCTATGAAGCAACTTACCTATCCACTACACCACCGACCACTTGAAACTGTGTATACTCGAACTTAACTTGAGCTACGCAAAGGAGGATCGGCGAGTGCTATGCAACCCCCCCCTAACTCCTCATAGAGAATCGTTCGGCAAATTTTGAAAGCAGATTTGAGTTCAGCGTCCCGAGACGTACACGTCGATATGCATCTCATCTTGAATGGCCATGGCGACCTGTTGACCTTTCCGTTAGAAGTGTTTGGAGTTCGAACAATGAACATTATCCCATCAAGCGCACATTACACTCTAGCAGTTCCAATGAGATTCCAATAAAACATGACGGACATGCAGGCCAGGGTTCCATAAGGTACCATGTGGTTTCAGATGCGGGAGATCCTTTGGCACGTATGTCATTACGTAATTCACTAGTGGACTGCACACTGCAGAGGTGGGAGATGAGGTGTTCTTAAAGGCAGTTGGCACGATAGGATTAATACGTCCGGCAGGACCGAATTCCGCGCTCCTAAGCAGGCGGTGTACAGCCTCTTTTCCGAAAAAGGTGCCCTCATAAAGCCCTATCAAGCTGCAACATACCGATCGGATGCCCACTGCGCCCGTCCGCCCACAAATGGACGGCGACACTTGATGCTCGTATCGCCTCATTTGCGGAGTGCAATATAAAGGAAAGGGATTGATATGAAGCGGCCGCGGTACTGCATGGATATGTGAGTACATACGTGCAGCGGTATCTACCGTAGCGGTTATTGGCACAATGCCTACGGGAAAACTCGTCCAAAATTGCTTTCTCTCAAGTCGTTAAGAGTCGTCAGTCGCTAAGAACGAAGGCTTTTCTTACCAGGTTTTTGACCGTTTCACTTGATTATTTTTGCAATTTTTTCCACTATATGGCAACCCTCCTAGCATTTTAGACCGAGTACCAAATTACCGTGACATTTTGAGGAGAGAACTCTCGAGCCAACCCACAACCGCGCTGATTTTGTATTCGATTCATACGACGGCATCTCCGCCCCCCCCTAAGATGTCTTGATACGACCCCTCTCTACTATCTTAAAGCATCCGTTAAGCAAAAAAAATCAACTATCAAAAACATTTCTCTCAGACAGATACCACTCCAACCCCCTCCCCAAGTGACCAGCTACGACCCGCTGTTGGGGAATCCCCAATATGATGTGCCCTGAGGCGACCTGATTATTTGAATATTTGCCTCTACTTGATTTGATTTTCATTGAGACCAACCAGAGGTATCACTGTGATACTGGGTCCGTACAATCATATTTTTCTTTTCTGTTTTGAGCACTGGCAGCAGAGCACATTATAGTGTTGCGCTGTGGGAAATTCTTGGAACATCTCGCAATTTTCTTCTACCTACCTTCCTAACGAGTTTTTTCGAAAATTATCGACAGTTTCATCGAAAACGCATGTAGAATCGGACTACCCCAACCATATTCTTTCAAACAGCACGGTGCCCCTCCTTCTGCGGCACAAACTCGTTTCTCAGTTATGACTGTGACATTGTGGATGCTGAGTGAGACGAGAAAGACACAGCGTCTCTCGCGTAAAAACCCACAGGAGGTCGTCGCTTTTCTACGTACATGTTTCAATGGGGAACACGGTAGAGCATCGTGATGTATGAAAAGGTAGTGTCAGTGCGACCCCTGCAAGGGAGGGTCTGTCGTACGACCTTCCCCCCCCCCCTTCACAACCCTACCTTACAATTTGCCACAGTTCCATGTTTTTTACCAAAAATTTCCCCTCGAAGCGGATGGCGGGGGAGATGTAGGAGTTAAACATGAAACAAAGAAATCAGCGAGCGAAGTCAATCATATCGATGCGGAAAAAGTCACAAGCCGAGCAACAAATTCTTCGGCATGACAAGCAAATTTCTCTCAGAGGCCACATACGACCCCCGCCCCCCTCCCCAGTAGAAAAAGTACGACCTCTCTTTTTGTCTTTCACACAAAGATCTGTACCCTGGTGGGGAAAAACAGGTAACACAGACTCCCGTACAGCTCGCAGTACAGAAGGAAGGGGAAAAATTACTGTTACCGGCTTGCGGTCATCTCCGCTGTGTCAAAATCTAAAGACCTACTAAATTGGTTCAAATTGTCACAACCTCTCAGCATCTTGTGTATCTTCGAGTTTCGTGGTTATGGATGGAACTTATTCGTACGTTGATCCGAGAGCATAAGAGAAATGTTTATTTTACCCAGTGCGTGACGATTTATCCTGGCCTGATCTGTCTCGGGAGAATCGATCTTTGACACTCAATGGGCGAAGTGAAACTTAGAAAACGCCGCAGTTGCTCGGTACATTTTTTTTTCTTCCGTATACTACAAGATCCAACTGTCACCACTTCCAGCTAGTGAGGCTGAGGGTGTAGGGGGAATTAAAACAGGGTCACACCTCCCACAACTTTGTCTCGATTATGGCCGTCCTCGTAATCACATCACCACCGATCACATCTGGGAGATCGCAGCGAGCTCAAACTTCTTCACCAAGTGGATGCAGTTCGGCGACGGGGAGGGAAAGGAAGGATTTTGCACTTTTGCCACTTCCCATCGACGTGTCGAGCCATCGAGAGAGCCTTTTGAGAATTGACAGGTTTTATCATGGTGGCTGGACGAGCTTGCTCCAGCTTCACAAGAGTTCACAGGTTTCACCAGAGTGAGACTTGTAAACCGGAACTAGTGAAGCAAGAAAGTGCAAAATGCCCCTCCCCCCCCCCCCTTCCCCGTCGCCGAACAGCGCCCACCAACTGCTTTTAGTCCGCTACCTTTTCACCATAAATGTGAACCTTTGCGCTCTCAAATATGAACATGCATTCTAATGAAAATCTAACCCACTCTACATCAGATAACACTTTTTTGACCCGTCCCTCCCCCCAGCAATATCCCACGCAAATTCAATCCTACTCAGTAAATGCCGTACTAATGAAATCTTTCCTGAATGTTTGCTTTCGGATAGATCGCTCTCGGGGTTAGGAATCGCGAGTCAGCATTTGAACAGTTTCGACCGTTTTAAAGGGGGAAGGCTTCACCATTAGTGGAACCTTCCTCTTACTAGCAACTCTCACGCTGGGCGGCCGATGTTCTGAATGAACGGTAGAATTTTGGTTTCTTGAAAAGATGAAGAGGTCCGGAGCACCATCGAGCGAAGGTTCTACCTAAGAATCTTGTTTAACAAAAGCATGGAAAGCATTTTGACTTACTACGGTGAGGAGTTACAGTAGCGACATGGAAAATACTTTGAGGAATTCTCCTTTTCGGAGCGTCTCTTGACCATGTCCCATTACAGGCCGAAACTGGATCTGCTATAATCCTTTTTCCTGCTGAAGAAGGTCTTCCCGACCGTAGGGCCGTAAATCGTCCCAGTAATTTCTAGTCAACCTGTGGGCCACTGAGCGGAAGGGTCCAGCTGAGAAAAGAGTGCGACGGAAGATTATCCCGGGATTCGCTGCGACAGTGGGCGAAACTGCTACAATTACAATCTTCCCCCTCTCTCCAGAAACATCGAGGAATCACGTTGCGCTTGCTTGGGAAATTTTGTTGAACAAGAAGATATTGTTCTTTTCAGGAAGTCTTATGAATTCAAAAACTGCCTAAACTGCCAGAGTGGTTTTCGTTGAACTTATGAAACTCAACAAAGCAAGAAAACTTTTTGGATTTTTGATTTTTAATTTTTGTGATAGACTTCTGGAGCTTCTTAGCATAAACATTAGACATTAAAGGCAAAGCCCGCGACCACAGATTGTGGGTAACGGAACCCACATAGGAACGAAAAAGGGCTAGGTATCTGATTAGCGGAGAAAAGCAGCAGAAAAACAGCCGAAAATGCCCTAAATAGGATTCCATATCGACCCAACTTGTACATGCATGCAATGAAGAAAACGCATGTTTGTACGAATTTCCACTCGTCGTTATCATAAAGATATCAGCTCTTTTATCGTATCACCTCACTCTCACCATTCGGAATGGAGAGAGATAGCATAGTGGCTACTAGCTAGTAGCTAGCAGCCGGTGGGGGTCGGCATGGGCCTAAGGGGCGCCCATGGGCCTAATTGGTTAGCTTGAAGCGGAATTCTTGCCGATTTTCACTTTCTAAAGGTAGCGCAGCCTCCGCAATCTCCTTCCGGATCGTCTGACACATTTGAAAGGTCATAGCCTTATTTTATCGCGGAAAGTGCCTTTAAAGAGGACAGCATAACAAGTATTTGGATGAAAATTTAGAAACCGTCACCTTAGTTGACCATAGCGCCTTGCTTGCGCTTTGCTATTAGGGTACGACGTGCTTTGAGGGGTCCTCAATGCGAGAAAGGGGAAGAGAATTGGGAGGAGGGGATGTCCGGTATAGTGAAATTCTACTGGATTTATGTTGAACAAAATCAATTTTGAAGAAGTTTTCAATCGCTGATTCTCATTGTTTTTCCCGTCCTGCCCCCGCCCTTCGTCGAGGCAATTTGACGATTTCTGATCACCTGTCCATTTCCCCCTACGCGCCGCTCGACAGATATTGGAGGGGGCCGTGGGGGAAATTGTACCCAACGCCCGGCATGTTTTGTTTGCAGTGGAAAATAATCATCCGCAATTTATTTACAGGTCAAATAAATGGAAAATATACATGAGCAAACGATCTGAAAGATCCAATATAATGCATTCGTAAAGTGAGAGTAATGAAAAGGCCTTCGATCTAAGTATGACAAAAGAATAACATATAAAATAACCTATGAAACCGTGACATAATCACAAATCGAAACTATCAACAAGAAAAAAAAGAAATGATAGAAAATAAAAGAACAAAAAGCAAATGCAATCAATACCGACGCAAAATATGTATCTGCCCGGAGAGCTATGTTACCCATAATTAGATGTGAGGTGGGGAAGAGATCCGTGCGGTCAGACCTCCACTTCCGATGCCTCTTCATCGCTGAAATGGACGATTCGATGCGAAGCTGATGCTGGCCTCGCACAATCATCTTCTTCACCATCAGCTTTCAAAAATAGGGTAAGACTAGTGGACTCAATAGGAGGGGCATCGGCGGGCTTCAGAGCAAGGGTATCTATTGTGCAGGTGATATCATTCACGGCCTGGTTAGTAGAGGCGTCAAGGGAAGAGGCGATAGGTTGTGAGTAGCTGGGAGGTGGTGTCTCCTCACGTGGTAGTTCAACAAAATCTTGAGATTTTGTTGATTTCCCGGATGGGGTCCTTTCGATGGACCGTTTCGAGCGGAAGCTCGATCGAAATGATCCGGATGAACGTCTGCGTATGTAGAACTGGTCGATCACATAGTTCTCAAGCAGCGTGATCTAAAGAATAATTATTAGAATGAATAAATTAGAAGAGTTTTAAAGAAAGTGTTAGGAAGATCGGAAAATTGAAAAATAGTACTCCTAAAATAGTAATAATTAATTAATTAAATAATAAAATAATAGTAAAATAGTTCCAACCAACCTTGTCAACTGATTTGGCAAATTGTACCTCGTCCAGCAAGCGATAGTCAAAGTTGTCGCCATCGGCAAGCGTCTCACGGAATAGCTCAATAGTTGGATCATCCTGCAATCAGTAAAAGGATAAATGATAAAGTCTTCGCCGTTCAATCAATCCCTTTGTGGGATGCGGCACGCATTCTACTTCCATTCAGAATCGTAGTGGCTTATTGAATGCGATGTGGCCTATACAATGACTTGGGCCAGCCGATGTACAAGTCAGTTTTCTTTCTTCCCCTACAAATCTGGTACAAATTCGTTGTCCCCGGAGGACAGGAGGCTTTGCTGGCCTGAGCTGTGTCGAGCCGGGATTAGCCCAGGACCGCGCGATTGTGAAGCGCGCCACTTGCCACTATACCACTTTGGCCCATGATACAATCAGTACTACTCATAGAAATTTTGCAAAAAAATCAGAGATGTCGCCTAACTCACCGTCATGTCGCCAAATCGAACACATAGCGTTGCCATGTTGTAGAAAACAATTAGCCGACTTGGATGGCTGGCACGGCGCCAGATTCTGCGCCCCATGAGGAATATGAGAGCGTACTCCTTCTTCGTTTGGGTCCAAATCCGTCGTTTCTCCTCAGGATCCGTAATAATTGGTCCCAGTCGATAATAACAGGCGTATATTGCTGCCTCATACCTCAAAACATCGACTATGTTGACATGCTCAAGCTTACCGCTCTACTGCCTACTGAGCAGGACTTACCATGCCAGATAGCAGTACTTCTTTGGAAGAGCATGCAGGCGATCAAGCCACTCGTAGCATAGCTCTCGTCGCTCTTCTGACGTGAAGTCTTCTGGGTCACTGTACTGGAATCGAAATAGGTCGTTGGCTGTCCAATGGTCTCCTTTACGCCTAAGTCGTTCCACCTCATTTGTAGGTTTTCGGCTTAGCTTGGATGCCACTCGACGAATTGGGCGATCTGAAATCATTCGCATAAATTCACATCTGGTTAGGTCCTAATTGGGAAATCCTCAGCGGGGTGAGGGGTCGCATTGTTCGCTGGAGGGAGGGGGTCATATCAAGTATAAGTGAAAATTTTTTGATAATAAATTCTTCCAATTTCGCGGGCGTTGTCGACATTGTTAGGATAATTCCGATCAGGGCACTTCTTGCCGCTGGTGAAAATTTTTGGAGAACACGGTAGGGGGAGGGCATATGGCACCAGTGAAACGGGAAAAACAGAGAAACAGCTAAAACCGGGAAGAAAGACGAGCAAATTCAAGTCTCCCCCTAACGGAGAAGTGAAACAAGAAGAATAAACTATTGAAAAAATTCTCGCAGACCAGTCAACCCTCCCCCCCCCCTCCGTCCATTTGCCAAGAATGACCGCCTTCGCTGGGAATTCCTGGGCGTAGGCGTGCCCCGATTCCAAAGGGTATTACATATTTGCTAGCCGTCGAGAGAGGAGGTTGTTTGCCTTTGGAAGAAAATTTGCCTTCGGCCTCCCCGCTAGTTGGGGGTGTTTCAGAACTCAATATTACAAATATTTGATAGTTGAAATTAGTTTTTTTTACTGTTAAAAAAACTACTGACTAGCTTCCACCCGTCCCCCCTCCCCTCCCCCACAGCGTCTGACGCAAAATTTTTGGGGAAAAAGTGGAAAATGTTTGAGAAGTTCCAGAAATTATGGTAGAAGGCTGGGAAATGTTGCAGGATTGGGAAGGGGGAAGGTCGTATTTTCCGATAATTTTCCTCAGCAACAGGACCTGCCCCGAATCGCGTAGTTCGACCCGCGCCGACGAATCCGCCAACGCCGCCTGGGCGCCGTTTTCGCCAATGACGTCAATGCGGTACAGCGACTCGTAAAATAAACTCGTTTATGCGTCTTAATACAGCTGCACGAGCAGAAGTGACGGAATTGGCTCTGAGAGAATTGAACTAACCAGGAAGAGGTTGAAGTTTGGCATGAGTTTTTCTACGTTCCAGTTCCACCTGATTCTTGTCCAACAGACGTTTCTTGAGCTTTGACATAAATCTGTTGTACTTGCGTAACCACATAGAAATCAGCTCCGATTTTGCCTTTCGCAATCGTTTACGAGCAAATCGTAGTTGTAGCTTCATCTCGTTCAGCTAAAATGATTTCCCTGTGAAAAGTGGATGTCAACGGTTAAAATACTATCATCATCAGCTACGGAACAACTGTTGAACTGGGCGATCGATCGAAACAACTGGTCTTTACATAATATTTGCAAGCTGCAAGAACACTTGATACTCTATCGCAGCATGTTCGTATCGAATTTCGACGGAATATGAACCACATTTTCACCAGCTGTTCCAATCGTCCCCCCGTTCACACTCACTTGTTCAGCTTCCTGTTTTCACACTTTAAGCATAAAAGGTCGTACTACTCAGGAGAGTTCAAAACGATTACGAAACGCGAAGGAAATAGCCGCTCACCTTTGTCTGGAATTTCTTGGGCGGCGGTGAACTTCCGATCATAGAATGTGTAGATTAGGGATTGAACTTATCTGAAAGTTTCAAGTAATTGTAGATGGGAAAAATTATAAGAGCCGAGTCTGAAAGACGAGAGAGATGAACTGGAGCACGTTGAGTTGAGAAAAGGAGCAAATGTGCTGTGCTAAGCATGACGATTACATCGCTTTTGCTTAGTGTGGGAAGACAGCTGCTCGGCTCGGAGGTTCGGGGGGAGGAGGCGAGGAAGGCGGGCAGGAGAGCACGATGAGGCCAACACACCTCTTGCCGGCTGTCCCTACATCATTTATCGCACGTACACCTTACTTTTCCATGGCTAACTACAAAAATCAGACGCAGTTCGGCGACAGGGGGGGGGCTTTTCCACTTTCACTGCTTCAGCTCTTCCAGTTTACGAGTCTCACTCTGGCTGAAACTTGTGAACTCTTGTTAAAAGCTCGTCTAGCCACCATGGTAAAACGTGTCAACTCAAGAAAAGGCTATCTAGATGGGTCGACACATCGATGGGAAGCAAAATGCCCCCCCCCCCCCCCCGTCGCCGAAGAGCGCCCAAAAATCATGCGTTAGAGTCCTCTTGGTCACTGGGCGGAATTTTAAAAACAAGCATAAACATCAAGGAATAAGTTAGAACAGCAGCTGGGAGAGAGTCCTGAAGCTGCTCAATCGGCGTGGAAGAACAATAGGGTAACCCATCGCGCTAAGCTCTTGAAACGGCTGGGATTTCGGCGCCCTCATTAGCCCAACGGACTAACAGAATGTCCCACACATCTTACGTACACACGTCGATAACACAGCACAAAGTCTTGCAGTGGAAGTGGCGCCGCTTGGTTCCTCCCGATGACCTCAGATGATGAAAAAAGGGCACCTCTCGTGGCTATCATGGTCCGCGCGCAGAGTACAAGTCGTTTCGAAAGTCGTTTACGTCACTCAACATTTCAAAAACCAAATGAATCACTCGATGGACGATTTATGAGTAGAAGAATGCGATCCCAGCCGGCAATACGTCTTCATCAGTTGTTCTTCACTAAGTGACCCAATCAGTGGGCGTGGAAAAACGAAAAAACACCATCCATCACGTGTTGATGACATGGGCCAGTTGTATCCTGAGGGACAACTACCACTGGTTAATCCACCTATCTAGCTGATTTTACGAGTAATTTTCGGGAAAGCTGTCTATGCGTCCATCTCAGCGTCCATCAAATGCTTTGATTAGTCGATTAGGGGATAAAAACGTTAACGTGAAAATAGGTGGACCCGTTGGCGATTGCTCCCGTTCCCACGTATTCACAAAGTCCTTCCATGCAGTGGAAACTCAGATGAATACAGAATCTTGAAGGGTTCGTCTCTGCTTGAGGAAACATCAGCAGTGAGACGTTCGAGATGGTCATAACATAGCGCGTCATGGCGATGAGAAAAATCGGTCTTCGACTGCCGTTCCCGCACCTGCACCACCGCTTGAAGTATGAGTCTGTTTGAAAGCCCGTTTCTGCTCTATCTTCATCAGGATGAATAACATTTCTTAAAAATGACGTTGAAAGAATGATTCTGTTTGTGGAATCCTGAAAACTGCGGAAAAAAGCGACAATGAAAGGAGCAGGGCAACATGAGTTGTGGATTTTGGTCGAGCCCGTACGACCGCTCCCACCTCCCTAAGAGGTGGATTTTTGCAACAGTCCCCCCCCCCTCCTCCCCTTTTTACGATCGCTTTGTTGTGTTTTCCAGTGCACGCCTTGCCGCTCGCGAAAGGTTTTAGAAAATACGACCGCTCACCCAGTTTGTCCACTGCTACACCTCCCTTCTCCTCCCCATGCTACGTGCTACCTACTACATACGAGGCAAATCATTGGTTGGGGACTTTGGTCGCGTTGGTACGACCCCACCTCCCCCCCCCCAACAACAACGAGCAAATCGAGTAAATATGACCCCCCCCACCTTAGTGTCCAAATCAAGAAAAATTATCTATGAAAAAAATTCCTCAGACCAGGTGCGACCCCCGCCCCCTCTCCCAGTGACCAAATACGCCCCCTTGGGGAATGCTCAACGATGATGTGCCTTGAGGAGAGCAAAGGAAAGGAGAAAGGAAAAAATTGGAAGGAAGTGAAAGTAAAGGAAAGTGAAGCAAATGAAATGTATGGAAAGGGAGAAGGAAAGAAGAAAAAGAAAAGAAAAGAAAAGAAAAGAAAAGAAAAGAAAAGAAAAGAAAAGAAAAGAAAAGAAAAGAAAAGAAAAGAAAAGAAAAGAAAAAAGAAAAGAAAAGAAAGAAAGGAAGAGAGGAAAGAGAGAAAAGAGAGAAGGAGGCACTTCTGAGAGTGTATGTGAGAGCATCTCAAGGCTTTCACTCGGCTAGCGTTAATCGACATAATCGGAGCGAGTGAAGTCAAACCACTCAAAAAAGATTCCCGCGAACTAAATTTTGACTTTGAATTCAGAGAAAAAATTATTACAAAACAATGTACACACCCTCACCATTCTTCATCTCCATTCGGAAGAAAAAATTCCAACCACGCAGGGGAGTGGTGCTGTCAAACATACAAAATTTTCAATTCCAGCTCGAGCACTGCTAATGAATTTATCCCCTTCTCAGCGATTCAGAGGCATATTCCGTGATGACGGTATGGGTTGATCCATCTGGATCATTGCGTTTCTTCATTGGTACCCTTCCTCTTTGCCACTTTGGAGTGACAGACTAGTGAGGTGGTTCCCACCGTTTCTACCGAGCGATCAGCCCGGTTTGCCCATTTGACACAATCACCCTAGTTGAAAATCCCAGAGCCAGACGTAGTGTGATGAAATATGTACTGCACAAGTCATAGGAAAAACGTTTATTCTATGGGCTCCCGGTTTCTTCGAGGAAGGGAAACATATCAACTCTGGATTCCACTCCTCTTTTTTAAACCAATATTTGTTTGTTATTCCAGCCTTTCAAGAGCTTATTAATGGGTTACCCCATTGTTTTTCCACGCCGATTGAGCACCACTCTCTCGGAAATACTATGCTACTTCCTTCTCTCAGCTGTTCTAGCCGATGAGAGGTTTTGGAGAACTTGCATGTTACGCTGCAGATTGCCTTTCGGGTATTCGTTGTTAACTTCTAAAGCAGTATAGGTGTGTCTTGGATTACTCAAGAATGGAAAAATGGAAAAAGATAAAGGAAGTTTGTTGTGTAAAAGTAAAGTAAAAAAAGACGGAAGAATGAAGAGTAAATAGGCAAATCATTGTAGAAACGGATCGTTAGAAGAGCTATTGCAGCCATTCATGAGGGCAAGCAGGCACTACCTGGAAGGTGCTGAAAAAAGACTCAATCAGCATGTGCTTTCAAAAAAGAGTGACACTACAGATTAAGAAGGAAAATATCCGCAATGGTCTCCTCTGAAGACATACGGAAAAGATAGCCGAAGCAAAATCCATAGAGATGTCAGCAGAATACTGATGTATGCTTTTGAAGTAGTAATAAAGATATAAAACCACGAGTACTGAAAAAAACCAATTCGGAGCGAGCAGAAGAAGAACAAGTCGTTCAGAGGTAGTTCATCTGGCTAGGACTACAAAGAAGCCCATAGAACCTAACAGTCGGTAATGGAGCCGCGAAGAAAACGAAAAAGTGGTTTATGCGGAATAAAAAACAGAACGACAAGATGGAAAGAATATTCCGGAAGTTTAAGTTTCTAGTTCGCTAGTTTTAAAGGGGCATTTTCGAGAGCTCCTCCAATGAAGCTGGGCGTCGGTCACAAGAGTCTGCGATTACCCAATAGAAGTTTTGTTCCCGCGAATCGCGGAGCTGTTTTCCTCCCTCAGCTCTAACGAGACTCCATAAACCTAGCAACTAACCTAAGAAACTTTCTCAAATGCCCCCTTCAAGGCGAGCAGTGCCTTGAAAATTTCAATAGTCTTAGAGGCTACGGAAGTCATGTACTTTCGCTGCGGACGGATGGGCGTGTCAGGCAGTATGAGTGTGTCACGCCGTCAAAGCCGTTCTCTGCCTTCTTGCTGAACCGCGCATGAGACAAAAAATGGTAGAAAACGAGTAATACGAACGATATGATACACTCATATAGTTTTAACAACTGGTGGAGAATGGGTTTGGCACCGCGCCAAACTCATCCTGCCTGACACGCCTAACCATCCGCAGCGGACTATACTATATGTGCAATAGTGAGTCCAAGTCATTGAATGACGAAGAGACAATAGATTGACCCTATTTTATAGGATGAGGAAATCTTGTAGAAAAGGAAGTCACCCGATTGAGCAGGCGATGTCCTTCACGGCGGAGGGCACTCCCCAGTGGACTTAATAAATCCGTTCTGGTCACGATGCCGCCTATAACGAAGATCCGCCTCCAGAATGTCATATCCCGATCAATCTCACGGCATCAGTGTTACGTCTGAGGGATGTTCGCTTATGAAATAATTCTCAGGTTGAGTGGTTGCCCCTGACCACCTTTACAACATTTTACATCAGAAACCAAAATATGTGTCAGGCAGCAACGAACGAACATCGAGAGAACAACAGGACATGAAAAATAGAAATAGTTAGGATATGAAATTTCCTGAATGAAAAATGGATTTTTCAAAAGGTACTTCAAAAGTTTTCTGATGGATTCCCTGAATCAGAATAGTTCACGCAATGAAAAGGTGATAGGCAAAGACAGCCAAACAGGAACCATCCATCAGTGGACACAACAAAGCTAAAGGAAGGAAAGGAGAGGAGAGGAAAGGAAAGGAAAGGAAAGGAAAGGAAAGGAAAGGAAAGGAAAGGAAGAAGGAAAGGAAGGAAGAAAGAAAGAAAGAAAAGAAAAGAAAAGAAAAGAAAAGAAAAGAAAAGAAAAGAAAAGAAAAGAAAAGAAAAGAAAAGAAAAGAAAAGAAAAGAAAAGAAAAGAAAAGAAAAGAAAAGAAAAGAAAAGAAAAGAAAAGAAAAGAAAAGAAAAGAAAGAAAAGAAAAGAAAAGAAAAGAAAAGAAAAGAAAAGAAAAGAAAAGAAAAGAAAAGAAAAGAAAAGAAAAGAAAAGAA